CGCCTCTGCAATTGTGTCCTCCCGCCCCTAGACGCAATTCGCGTCTCGGAGAGGGGTACTGTGCTTATCTAGGCTAGTGATATAGGTACTCTTACGTGGTATGACTTGCTCTATATGCCTTTCGTGCTTTATACTTGACTGTCGCCCTGGCGCAGTCGCAACGCCTGATGTACGGGCTAGATTAATCGTAAGATGAGGTTCACTACCTGTTCCATCGTGCATTTTTTACATCTGCGTGCCATCCTCGTGGTCCCTTTCCAGGCATTGTTCCCCGATACTCCCCCCCCTGTCTATCTGTCGTCCACTCTTTTGTTGATGCATTCGCTGTCTACTCTTGCGGCGTTCGTATCTTCATTAGTTTATATAGACAGACCATCATCATTCCTTATCTATCTACGAAGGCATGTATGCTTCTTCCGAACTATCATTGATCTTCTGTTGCTTAATGCTGTGGCGCTTGATGATTTGAGAACTGGCGTGCATTAAAATTTCAAGCTGTATCTGAGCCATTCTCAACGACATGTATCCACCATCTCACACTAAGTGCAATAGCGACAGCAGCAACGGCAACGGCGATAACAGCAGCAGCCGCAGGGTAAACAACAAGCATCCACACACACACACACACACACACACACACACACACACACACACACACACACACACACACACACAAAGCAACACAAACACTGCACATGAATGTGCACGCGATAGAAAAGCGGTTGACGTTTTGGAAAGGTCAGGGAGAGAAGTGGAGCACGCCGTTATTCATCATCACACACAAGCACAAGTCGTGGTGATGTGCGCGCATATCGAAAGGAAAAACGAAGCAAGGTTTACCAAGGGCAAATCCTCACTTCCAAGCACGAGAAGCAAGTAGCAAGGGAAAAGATGCGTGGTGACTCGGGTCATGCACGCATGGCAGCGTATCCAGCTACTTGCTTGCAAGCAAGTGGAAAATGGATGAGGGAATTGGTAGGTATTCAGGTATTCGTGGTGGTGTGATGGGGCATGACGCGACGAGGAGAGGAGAAAAGGGGAGAAAAGGGACTCGGAAAAAGCATAGGCGTGCCAACGCGCAAGCGAGCAAGCACCGCCACACAACAAACCACGCACAAAAAAACTAAAACGGGGATGATGACAAAGACAGACTGACAGAGAGCAACCCGCGACGACGTTGCGTGTCTGCATCGTCGCCACCACCCCCAAGCACACCCTGCTTGCTCGGTTGTGTTTCTCCTTTCTTTCGTTCTTGTCCGTCCACGTCCCACCTGCGTTTAGTGCAGCATGCGACTCAGCGCGTGCAGCGCGTATGTGGCATCGTAGATGGCGCGCTTGAGCTGGACGTTGCAGCGCTGGGTCTCGTACATTTCCTCGGCGGCGGCCTCGCGCTTCTTGGCCTGGGAACGCTGGTTCTGCAGCTTCCGTCGCTCCTCAACGTAGAGGTCGGCCAGCACCTTGCCGTCGTGCGGGCGCCTCAGCTTCTGCAGCTCCGTCTTGATGACCTTGAAGGCGCGCTTGCCTGCGTCCAGCGCACCGAGGCGGAAGTAGAAATCGCACTTGGGGCCAGACCGCGTTGACTTGCGTCGCGCGCTGGGGGCCTTGCGCTTGGGGTTGGCAGCGACCATGTTCAGTACCTCCTTTGGCGTGCACCCATGGTTCTCTTCCTTGAACACCTTGGTCACGTGCTTCTTCAGCTCCCGCTCACTCTTTGTCAACACGCTGCCAGATTTTGTGTGCTGTGGGCGGGGCGGCAGCTTGGGCGGCTTGGGCGGCAGAGGCGGCAAGTCTCCCGGCATGCCTTTACAGATGGCAGGGGTCTGTGGCTCTGTCATCCCAGTGACACGGTCAATGTGTGTTGATGACGTTGGTGTCAACGACCCCGTGCTTGCTGTGGTGCTTGCTGTGGTGCTTGCACCGCTGGCGTCTCCCAGCGCCTCTTGCGCCTCCTGCTCGTCTTGTGCCTGTTGATCCTCTTGCGCCTCTTGCTCGTCTTGATCCTCTTGCGCCTCTTGCTCCTGGTCTTGTTGGCTGCTGCCCTCGCTGTCGTCGTCTTCCAGTTGGTCTGCGGGAAAGTCACAAAACTCGTTGTACTCGTGCACGGGCACGCCCAGGTCCTGGCCTGACCTCGGCGTGCCATATGCGCCATCGTGGCAGTGGGTCGGTGAGCCCGAGGGCTCCGAGACGTAGCCGTCGCTGAGGTGACCGTCGTCGGCAGCAATACCAAAGGCAGCCCCGCCTCCGAAGTCGCTCTCACCAAAATGGAACTTCTCGTGCTGGTGGTAGTGGCTCTGGTCATGGCCACTTGTCGCCCGGACGTCCTCCATCATGTCGAGATGCGCACTGCCGTCCTGACTCCCGCCCATGAGCCACGTTGAGAATGGGGCTGTCTGCATACAGGCCCCGTCAAAGCTGGGCGTACGTTGCACAAAAAACGCCTCGTTGCCCATGATGGTCGGCGATGGCAACGGCGACGGCGATGGCGACAGCGAGGGCACGTGATCGTCCACCAGATCCATTGAGGAGTGCGACGGAAGCTCAATACAATCCATTGGTGCTGCGGGTGGTGGTGGTGGTGTTTGAGGCAGTGGTGTTGGCGGTGGTTGTACGAACGACTGCGATGCGATGCGGACAGCTGTGTTGAGCGTTACCAGTCTGCATGCAAGTGAACTGCTGGTGTTGTGTGTCCTGATGTGAGTAGCTGGTGCGAGCGTACTTGCTTCCTTCCTCTCCAGAGCTCTGGCTCGCGTTTTGTCCTGGTGCCTCTGTTGGCTTGTTTGTGTTGTTGTTGTTGTGTTGTGTTGTGTGTGCGGCAAGTGGGAAAATGGCTGAGGCACTTGGAGTGGTTGGGCTTCTGCTTTGTTTTGTTTTGCCTTTGTGTCTTTGTGCTTTGCTTGTTGTTGGATGTGTTCGCTGTCTCCACACCTTGTTTCTCCGCACTTCTTCCTGCCTTGCTTGTGAGTCACGCATTGCGAATGTCCTTCTCGCGCCCAGTCAGTGAGTGAGTCAGTGAGGGGTTGGTGGGTGTGGGAGTTTCGCCCACTTGCACTCCGACATCTGACTGTGCGTGTGATGATGGCGCTAAAGATAGACAAGGGCTGCACAAAAATCCTGAGAAGCCCACAAACTTCTTTGCAGGTGGGTCGATGTTGCCGTGTGCGCAGAAAATTGGCAACGACCAAAGGATGGTCGTGTGCGTGAGCAAGGCACGACACAACGGCGTTGTTGCTCACGACGCGTTTCGATCTTGTAGCATTGAACTGACTCAGCGCTTTTCCTGGTGTGTCAAAACCAAAACGTGTGTGTCTGCGTGCGTGTGTCTGTGTGTCTGTGTCTGTTTGGTGTGTGTCTGTGTGGTCTCTGTGTGTGCGTTTGTTCTTTGGTGTGTGGCCATTTCCCCTCATTCCAAATTCACCTCCCTGCCTCCGTCTCTCGATGCAGCAAGCTGACACGATGGGCACAGAGTAAGTAGTACCACCTTTGACGTTTTCGTGTGCGTCGGTTGTGTGCGTGATGTGTTGTGGAGGGGTCCTCTTCTTTTTCGTTGCTTTGGAAGGGGGAATGTCGCACCACCTTCACATCCCATCATGTCGCACCTTCGACACTTGCGTCGGTCGACGTGCACACAATTGCAACACACACGCACCCAATTGCATCACAAACACACACACACACAACACACATGCACACACACACAACACACACACACACACCACACATGCACACACTCACAGGGCATCAAGTCTGAAGACCTCCAGCACTTGCAACGGCCTTGGAGATTCGCGAGGCGATGAAGGCAGGCTGGCACATGTGCAAGGGAGATTGCAAGAACTCACGGGGACAACGACCTTCGATTTGGAATGCCCTTATGCTCGCACGTGCTGGGAGCTGCTGGCCCTGTACGCAGACATCCCCGCAGAGAGGTTCAACCACCGCCACGACGTGTGCTACTGCAAGGAGTCTTGCTGTCCAACCCCACGCAAGACGCGCCTGAAAACAGGCGGCTGCCCACAAGGCTGGGTCCGGTTTGCCCTCAGCGTTAACGAGACAATCTGTGAGGCCCGCAAGGTGTTCAACCACTGGCACAAGTGCTTCCACGGCACCACGCTGCGCGCCCTCGACTCCATTGTCGAGATCAGCCAGCTCCTCAAGCCGGGAAGCGAACTGCCGGACGGAACCGTGATTGGCACGCGCGACGGCCACATCCCACATGCCTTTGGCGTGCAGCCGGCCAACGCCCCCATTGAACACAACTACACCAACATGCGCCACATGTGCGTGGCCCCTAACAAGACCATCTTCGTCTCGCCCAGCATCAACTACGCCGCGCACCGGGCCTACGCAGAGCCCGTGTACGTCGACCGCGACACCCGCATGACCGTTGTGCTGGAATGCCGCATGTGTCCAAGGGCATACAGCGCATCCGCCAGCACCGTGCGCGAGCACGTCGCCGACGACTACGTGTCTGCAGACGGCATGGAGTGGACTACCGAGCTCAACAACGTTCATTACATCACAGGTGTGCTGGTGAAGGTGGAGAAGCTTCAGCACCGAGTGCCGGCTGCCAGAGTCATGCCTGGCAGGCACACGCTCGCCACCTCCCCGCTCGTGTGCACACCGGAGGCTGTCGCTCGCCACACCCTGAGATCCCATCGCCGCAGCCTGCACCTCCTTGCCGTGCTTGATGGCACAATGCCATTCTCGCTGAAGTGCGAGTATGCAAAGCGATGCTGGAGTGCACTCACCACGCTGGCCGATACGCACCGCATCGACCCGCGCTTCTTCAACCACACCTACTCTCGCTGCTACTGCGCATCGTGCCTTCCAAAGTCCGACAAGGGCGCGGTGTTTCGCCGTGGTGACAAGCCATACCAGCTGCCGGAAGGCTGGGTGCGTATTGGCCTCCAGGTCACTCACACCCACGCCCGCGCCACGAAGCTTTGGGAAACCTCCCACGTCTGCTACCACGGCACCTCCATTGGGTACAGCTTCGAGTAGTGGTGCTTTGGTGTCTTGCGTCTTGCTCCCGTTAATTTCTCGCCTTGGGCCGAGGTCATCACCCATGTTTCTTTGTTCAAGGTACAAAAACCAAACTGCACACCCCACGCGCACTCACACATGCACACGCTCATACATACACACGCTCACACATGCACGCACTCATGCATGCACACACACACACGTACAGGGCACTCAAACCCATCATCGAAGGGGGAGAGATTCTGCCGCCAGGAGAAGTCAACGTGACGCACACGCACATTATTCCGCGCGACGATGAGGACAACCCACGTGAAGGCCGCCTGCCAACCGTCTACACCACGCCCGCACACAACCTGGATCGCATCCACAAGTCCGTCTTCGTGTCCCCCTCGGTCGCCTATGCGTCCTCAAGCACGTATGCGGAGCGCTACTACTGGCCAGGCGGCCGCCAGTTTCTGGTGCCCGTGTTGCAAACCCGCATCCGCCCTGACACGTACGATGTGCGGTCGTCCACGCTGAGGGACACGCCACACGACCCATGCTACTCCGCGGATGAGATGGAATGGTACACCCCTCGACGAGGGGTCATCCAGATCTACGGGCTTCTGCTCAAGCTTCATCCCGCTCAATGAATACCAACATGCAGACATGCTACTGCGACAACAACATGTTCATGTGTGTAGATGTGTGCGTGCGGATTGTTTGTGCGTGCTGTGCATGTGTGTGTGTGCGTGTGTGGATGTGTGTCTGCATCTGAGCCAAACGTGATCTTCAAGTAAACCATAGCGATGCGATCCCTTGATGGTATGATGTGGTGAGGCGGTGGGTACAGACGCGTGACGAGGCAACGAGAAGAAAAAGAACAAGAAGAAGAGGTAGGGGCAACGAGTGCAGCGATGACTAGCATTCTAGTCGTGGTGACGAAGTTAAGAAACACCACGAGGAGATGAGGAGACGAAAGACAGACACACGCACACTTGGGCCCGTACCAGGCAGCCAGAAGCTACGAGAGTACGAGTCGTGTGTCACGCTCGACCAAGTTGGTGGCCCAACTGATGAGTCAGCCATTGCCAGCGGCGCACACGTGAGCAAGTGTTTGTCGCGTGCGAAGATGTACAAGGAAACGCTCACACATGTGTGCACAAATCCGAATGTGACTCACCACTTTTGTGTGTGTCAGACTCAAAGATGCCAGTGTAAGTTCTCACGATACCATTCTGCTTCTGACAGTGCACTTCTGTGTGTGTGTGTATGTATGTGTGTGTGTGTGTGCTTCTGACACACACCACCTCATAACTACGTGTCTTGCTCCTCTTCCTCCTTTTTCCTCCTCTTCTGCTTGCTTCATTTTCATCAGCCCAGCTTAGCAGCTTCCACCTTCTCATTGACAGCACTATCGTCGTCATCATCATCTTCATCACCAACACCATCACCGTTGTCCCACACCCCACGAGACCATGACAGAACGTCTTCGATACTCTGGACGCACCCCTCAAGAGCAAGAGGAGTACCTGGCTCAACAGCCAGACTGCCTGCCGGTCCAGCTCGAGCGCCTGCAGGTTTGTTGTGTTGTGTGTGTGTGTGTGTGTGCGTGTAGGTGCGTGTGTGTGTGTGTGTGTGTGTGGGTGTGTGGTGTGTTGTGTGTGTGTTGTGTGTGTGTGTATGTGTGTGTGGGTTTTGGGTGTGTGTTGTGTGTGTGTGTGTGTGTGTGTGTGTTGGGTGTGTGTGTGTGTGTTGGGTGTGCGTGCGTTTGTGCATTTGTGCATGTTCCAGCCTGTGCCAGTCTGTGCTTGCCATGCCAATGTTGATCCGTTCGTTCTCAATGAAGCACCCAGTCCTTCCTCACCCACAGCTTCCTGCTTCCCCTCCCCCTCCCCCTCCCTCGCCCAACATGACCAGGTGCATCTGGAGAGTGCGAAAACCACTGGGCACGTTGACCGTGGGTTTGTGGAGGAACGCTTGCGCCAGATTGATGAGCTGGTGACCCAAAATGCCTCCGCCCTCCTCCGTCCGCAGGAGCAGGACAAGTTCCGGGAACTGTTTCAGCAGCTGCGCAGCCGAGGCTTTGACATTGAGGGCGTGCGCACCATGCTGAAGGACTGCAACGACGCCCTGTTCATTGTGCGCCCGTTTGCCGTCCACAGGACGGAGGAGATTGTCAAGGAGACCATGGCCAACAATGACGCCGTGCCTTGGAAGGGGCGGGCTTGCATCATGCTGCTGGGTGCGTCCAGTGCTGGCAAGACCACAACAGGCCTGTATCTGACCGGATACGACATGGAGCTGCGAGAGGAAGACGGCTACACGTACCCTGGGCCAGCGCCTGATCAAGACATGCCCATTCCGGAGCAAGCCTGCGTGCAGCCTCGACCACACGCGGAAACGTCGTGTGTGTACGTCGTTGGGGCGCTACCGGGCGACCGCCTTCGCCCCTATGGATATCGCGGCGAGGGCACCGAAGTCCTGGTCCTCGACACCCCTGGTGTGTGTGTGTGTGTGTGTGTGTGTGTGTGTGTGTGTGTGTGTGTGTGTGTGTGTGTGTGTGTTTCAGCATGTGTTTGTGTGTGTATTTCTGTTTGTGTTGTGCAGGATGAGGTCTCAGTCCATGCACGCTCTCGCACTGCGTTGTTGGAAGTTGCGCCATCTGCTCCTCTGGCTTCACTGGCTTCCCTCCGCACTTTGTTTTGTTTGTATTCTCCCACCACGAACGATTAATGCTCACGCTACACGTATGAACATGCGTGTGACGGTGTGCACTTGCTTGGCTGCTTCAGGCTTGAACGATGACCTTGGAGCAGCGGTAGACCTTGCCAACCTGCTGACGATCCGCCACAGCTTGGAGGAGGCAGGCGAGGTGTACCCCGTGCTTCTGCTGCCGAATGAGGGCGGAAACATGGACACGACGCGCCGCTGCCTGCACACGCTGATCAAGCTGTTTGCCAACCCAACGCAAGCGGTGCGACGGTGCACGTTCCTGTTCACCCGCAACACGGACACCGCGGATGCCATCCCCAACCTCAAGGCATCCGTGGCGGTGCTGCATGAGGACGCCGCGACGCTGCCGGTCGATGACCCCTTCCGGGCGGCTGTCAACGAGCTGCACGCACGCCTGCAGGAAGAAACAACGGCAGACCTCGCGCCGCCACATCACACACTTGCGCGCGATCTTTGCGTGGTGCGGCCGCTGGACCGCACGCGCATCGACGACCACCTGCGACAGATTGTGAGTCGCGGAGGCATCACCAACCGCGAGCTCAACCAAGACCTACAGCTTCCAGATGCAGCCAGCGATTGCGTGAGCAACGAAGTGCAGTGCATCGAGCACGTGATCAGCAGCCTGTGTGCAGGCCAGCAGGCCAAGGATCTGCGCGTTGTGCTGTTCCAGCTGTGGCGCCTGCGCAGGCTGCATGCGCTGGTGCCGCTGCCGTACGTGAAGAGCGCCCTCGGTCGGTGCAAGACTGACACGAACAAGCTCCTGCAGTTTCTGCGCGACAAGGTGCAGGCGCAGCTGGAGGTGGCTGCGCAGGACACGCAATCGGCCATTGGCGATGAGCTGACTGCGCTGCTGACGACGTTCAAGAACGACCTTGCGTACGCGCGGGATGATGGCATGGAGCACGCGCTGTTTGCGTCGCTCGCCTCCTACCCAGACCTGCTGGAGCCGCACATTGCTGCACTGAAGGAGGTCAACGACAACTGCATGAGGACCCCAGAGAACGCAAGGGTGCTGTCCGTGCGGCTGTTCAAGCTGTACGAGCTGTGCAGCCTGCTGCCGCCTGACCGTGCGACACTGGCGCACGCGTACATTGCCGCTGGCCAGCGGCTTGTGGCTGTTGTTGCTCGGAGGCAGGCCATCTGCGTTGGGGCGTTGCAGTCCGACACGGTGGGAGAGCGCGGCAACAGCGTCGCTCTGCTGCTGGCCTGTGTTGCGCTGCTGTCCCGTCACTTTGAGCTGAAGGGCGACGACCTTGTGCCCAACGAGCGCCGCCCTGATTCTCGCGATCCACAGCAAGACCGCACGCAGCTCACATCACGCCTTGGGCGGTGGTACTCTGCCTTTCAAGGTGCCTTGCAACAACACATCCGTGAGGCATGTGCAAAGGCCATCCATACGCTGAACAACGCCGAGATTCCGGTTGCCGAGGAGCCGAGCCGAAACGGCGCCGTGCTGGAGGCGTTTCGGCTGGTTCGCAGCGTCCATGACTGCCCGCAGCTGCTGGATGTGGTGACGCAGGAGTTCATGACACAACAACGTACGGACTGCATCGAGGCCGTCAACGACTTCATTCGCAGGGCAGAAGGGTACATGCTACAGCTCGCCACCTCCCATCGGGTCAATGACACACCTGACATGGTTCAAGCTTTCCGTCAGGGCGTTGCCTTTGAGACGTTTGAGGAGGAAGAGATCAAAAGGCGGGTGGACAGCTTCAAGCAGACTGGACAGCGAAGGCTGGAGGAGGTGCACAGCCAACTCGGCAACAGTGCGGGCTTGGTTGCAACTGTACTGCACGAGGTTCTCGGCGTTCTTTTGCCACAGCAACATCGAGAACAGCAACAGCAACAGCAGCAGCCACAGCAGCAGCCACAGCAGCAGCCACAGCAGCAGGCGGGTGAACTGCTTTCAACGAAGATGAAGCGGGTGCTTGCTGCAATCCTGATTGCTGTTCTCGCCATGATCCTCGTCAACTTCAAGGGTACCTCACAGTAGAGAATCCACTGCGCGTGGATGCGTGCGTGTGCGTGTGGTGTGAATGCGAAGGTGCCTGGCGGTTTGCTTGAATGCACCCGCGAGCTGTTCCTACTTGCTGGTACCTCAGGTGCTGCAACTGTGCTCCTTGCTTGTTTCTTTCAATCGTGTTGCTCCTTCTTTCCGTCCGCCTACAACCAACAACATAGATAGTTCTTTCCAACCAACCAAGCTGCTGATGTACTCGTAATGATGTGGCGATGGTGTTCTTCTCATTTGAAGTACACACGAAACAAACAAACAACCAAACACACAAACATATACACAGTACACACGCACACACACACACACTCGCACACACACCCTCACACACACTCACGCATGCACCGCCTTTTGAATTTGGCGCGGATCGATTCCACGAAAGACATTCAAAGATTTTCCGCAGCCCATATCGCGCACGTTGTTTGCTTCTTGACACCCAAGTCACTCGCACACGAATCCAGCCATGGCTAGCCGGGCGCAGAAGCTTGTGTGGGAGGAGCGTGAGCGCCAGCGCAAGCGGCAGAGAAAGGGGAAGCGTGCGGCAGACACAGAGGACGAGCAGGCGCAACAGGAGAAGGAGCGCAAAGCAGAAGAGGAAGAGCGGTTGAAACGGCAGCAAGAGAAGCGGGCGAAACGGGAGCAGCGCAAGCAGGAGAAGATGAAGGAGGACGAGGCCATGACCCCGGAGGTGCGGGAGAGGCTGCGCTTGTTGGCGCGCTATCAAGCAAAAGCGCTGGAGGCACACAACTACCTTCTGCTCTGGAAGACGGATCGGGAAGCCTGGAAGTTTAAGAAGCACCACCAAACTGTGAGTTTGCTGCGCCTGCAATCCGTAGTGTCGGGACTTGACGCATGTGTCAGCACATCTGCGGTGTTCGGATTCGTGTTCAACATCCAAGCATGTCACTTGAATGTGCACAATATGGCGATAGTCAAAGTTTCATGTGGGGCCCTTTGAGTGCCCATGTTGCTTCATCTGCAATTGGGTACAGATTGCACACATGCAGCTCGTTGTTCACCATCCTCGTACACACACACACACACTCTCTCTCTCATTTGCTCACACACACACACAAACTCATTTGCTCACACTCATGTATCCACATACCCACGCATGCGCCAACAGTTTCTCCTCAAGCACATGTTCAACCCATACGTGGTAAGACGCGTATGCATTTGAAACCCCCCTGCTGTGTGTGTGTTGCTGTGCAAGCACGCACGCTCGTACATGCACACAGACACACACACACACATGTACGCACACACGTACGCATACGTACGCACACACACACATACACACACACACACAAACGTACACACACACACACATTCAAACCCTATGACTCTTTCTCATCATGCGCTCCATCGTGCGTGTGTGCAGGTGGACCAGATGGCGTTTGACATTCTGATGGAATACATTGGAGGGCTGCAAGGCAGGAGCGTGGATGCAACCGTCAAGGCGGCGCAGACGAAGCTCGAGGAAGACGAGGTGCAAGAGGAGGTGTTGAGCGATGCAGAGGTGGTGTTTAACCGATTCTCCGAGGGGAAGCCGTTCACAGAGGCGGTGAAAGCCAAGTTTGCCAGCACCCTCACACAGCTCATCCACAAGCGCGCGCGCAGCGTGCTCCAGGTGCTGCTGTAACAGACGTATTGCAATCCTTTGCGTGGCGGTTGGCGTTATGTCACATACACATGCACAGTGAAGCGAAAAGTACTCGAGTGAACAACAAATGTGCATGTGCGTGATGCTTCGGTCATGCTCGTTTGGATGTGAGGCTGGGCGTTCGTTTACTCGTTATCATTGCCATGAAGGGTACCGTAAATAAACACACACAAGGAGCAAGCAAGAAGGGGCGCAATGTAGGGTTGCACAGAAGCATCAAACACACACACACACACACACACACACACACACACACACACACACACACACACACACACACACACACACACACACACACACACACGCACACGCACACGCACACACACCTCACGTCTCTTTGCAGAGTACCACCGTCAAAGACACCACCCAAGAGGTGTTTCAAGGCGGAAGCAGCCCGGACATCTCACATATGCTGGCACGAACCTGATCCAACCCTTTCCTCTGCTTTGCACTGCACACAGAGCAACACGCGCATGGATAACGTGGTAGTATGGATAACGTGATAGTATGAGTGACAAACTTGCGACCGCGCGTCGTTGTTGTTCAACACAAAGCCCGGGAAGGTGACTAAGACCTACACACACACACACAGACACACACACACACACACAGACATGCACGCACACACGCACACAGACACAGACAGACACACACAGACACACACAGACACACACACACAAACATGTACGCACAAACCTGACTGGCTGGACGAGCACTGGGGAGGTGGCTGGGTTGAATTCTTGTGCACTGAGGGTGAGCGTCTGTTCGCATTCAAGGATGCGTTCACGCAGTGGCCCCACCGGCAAGCGGTCGGCTTTTGTCAACAGCACCTGCAGCAGCACAACGAGCAAACCATGAGAGCAGCAGCACATGGACTCCCCAAACACACAGTGGTCGCCAAGTTGCGACACCAATCCCTCACACACGCACCCTGTAAGGAATAAAGTGTTCGAGGAGCAAGGAAAAGGCGGCGAGATCAAGGTCCTTGATGCCCTTCTTTGCATCGATGAGCAAGCAGGCGCAGGCGTGGCCCTGACGGTTGTGGAAGTAGTCGCCGAGCAGCGTCATCTGATGCTGGTGGGAACCAAACCCGTATCCCGGCACATCCACGACGCGCAAGTGGCGCTGCCCCTGAAAAAAGTTGAGCATCTTCGTGTGTCCGGGCGTCTTTGACGTGTATGCGAGCTTTGTTCCAAGCAGGGCGTTGAGCAGCGTCGATTTGCCCACGTTGCTCGCCCCCATCAGCACCACCTCCGCCTGGTCAACGGCTAGCGGCGGCACGGCGTTCAGCTTCGGCGCAGAGGTCAGGAACTTGAACGGCAGCGTCTCACTCCACAAGGAGCTGACCTTCTGCAGCACCGCTGGCGCGATCCCAAGGCTCGCATAGGGATCTGCCAGCTGCAACACCCGGAACGCCAACGCCGTCGGCAGCCTCCCCACTCGCCCACCACCACCGCCACCGCCACGAGGCATCCTCCTTCCTGTCGTTTGCTCGTTGTTGTTGCTGGTGTGAGTCCTGTCTGGACGTTTGTCTGAAAATATGGCAAATCGTCACAATCCACACAGCGGCACATCTCTCACATCTCATCTCAACTGCACCTCATTCGCGCTTTCACCTCACCTCACCCCCATCCTGTTCGCAGCCATGTGCATTGCCTTCCTTGCGTGGAATGCGCCTGGACGCTATGCGCTTGTGATTGCCAACAACAGGGATGAATTCTACGCTCGTCCAACAAGCCAATGCCACTGGTGGCCCGAGCATCCCAACGTTCTTGGAGGTAGCGTGCATGTGTGTGTGCATGCGTGTGCATGTGTGCAAGTGCGCATGCGCATGTGTGTGTGTGTGTGTGCATTGTGTGTGTGCACGCGTGTGTGTGTGCATAGTGTGTGCGCGCATGTGTGTGAGGATGGCTTGTTGACCACCCTTCCGCTCATGTGGTCGCATCATCTTTCTCTTCTCCATTTTCCTTCACGTTGCCTCAAATCACTGTCTTGTGCTTGTGTCGCTGCAATTGAGGTTACGATATGCAGGAAGGCCGGCCAAAGCACGGCACTTGGATGGGTACGTCTGCTTGCGTATGTGTGTGTGTCTCTGTATGTGTCTTTCTCTGTCTCTGTCTCTGTCCCTCCCACTCTCTTCCCCCGTCTCTCTCTGTTTGCAACTTGCTCCGTTCGTAGCAGCCAGAGCCCACCCAAGATTGAGTCCATGTCACACGCGCGACTGTATGTGTTCATTTGGTTGAGGCTGCTTGAAATATCAAGGCGTGAGAAACGAACCGCACAGCATGACACACACACACACACACACACACACACACACACACACACACACACCTTGAACTCAAACTCAAATCTCCAACTCAAGCTCACCTTGCTGAGGCTGACGTTCATGGCCCCAACACCACGATACCACTTGAATACACTTTGCATGCCACGCGCTAGGAATCACACGCCAGGGCCGGGTGGGGGTGCTGACAAACGTGCGGGGCTTGCACGACGACGAAAGCCCTCGCGGCCGAGGTGAACTTGTTCGGGACTTCCTCGTCCATCCACATGTGACCCCATGGGATTACTGCGAGCGCGTCGCCAAGCATGACCGGGACTACGGAGGTAAACAAGAAGAAGAAGAACAACAACAACAACTCGTCCGACACGCAGCTGTCGCCGTACACCACACCAAGCACACGCATCAACTGGGGCGCATGTTTTTGACTCGAGCAATTTGGTGTTGTGTCGTTGACCTCGCTTTTCTCCGACAACCGCACTTCCTCACCATCGTATTCGCCACTGTCTGCTTACATTTCTCATTGTTTGCTTGCCTCGGGTGTACTTTGGCCAGGGTTTAATCTGCTGCTGTTTGATTTGGCAAAGCGCACGGAGCCAGCCGCCTACCTCACCAACCGTGGCACATCCAGCGGTATGCGTGCGCGCGTACGGAGAAACGTGGTGACTTGTCGTGGCGAGAGCGGAGGAGGAGGCGGTGGCGAAGTGGCACCACCACCACCACCACCACCACCACCAACAACAACAACAACAACAACAACAACAACAACAACAACTTAAACAACAACAACAACAACTTAAACAACAACAACAACAACAACAACAACAACAACAACAACAACAACAACAACAACAACAACAACAACAACAACAACAACAACAACAACAACAACAACTTAAACAACAACTTAAATAACAACTTAAACAACAACAACAACTTAAACAACTACAGCAGCAGCAGAAGCAGTCGTGCGAAGACACAGGCTACCGCAGCACTACTCATGTGGTGATCACTCATGCATACCCTTCTCCCCTTTTCCTTTTCCTTGCGTCGTGCTAAAACAGGGACTGTCTTGGGCGTACCTGCGGGCATCCACGGCCTCTCCAACGCCGCCCTCAACATCCCGTGGTTCAAGGTGGAGGTGAGCTGCTCCCTGAAAGAACGAACACGAGTGATATTGGTTCTCTACCGCATCCTGCCACCTCTCGCGTGCACACACACACACACACACACACACACACCACGCCACCAGTGTACACGGAATGATGTTATTCTCCCACAATAACACCCATATGCACATATCCACATGCACAGCGCGGGAAGTCGCGCATGGCGCAGATGGACTTGAACCTGCCGGAGGAAGAGCTCACGCCACTGCTCTTTGACCTTTTGTCCGACACGCAAAAGTGAGCCTTTGTTTCATGTTGTCGCGTCTGCTGCCTTCGATGGTTCGAAATGTCGTGCCTAGACTCACATCATGTCCCCCACGCACACGAACACATGTCGTGCACTAGACTCACATCATGTCTCCCACGCACACGGACACATGTATGCACACACGCATGCACACACAAACACACACACACACACACACACACACACACACACACACACACACAAACACAAACACAAACGCAAACGCAAACGCGCATATACACAAAATCACGCGCGCCGAACAACCCCAAGGGCGCCGGCGTCGGAGCTGCCACAGACAGGCCTGGGCGATGCCATTGAGCACCACCTGTCCAGCACGATGGTCGACATTGATCCCAGCTTGGGGCTGCCACATCTCGGCAGCGGCTACGGCACACGCGCACAGACCGTGATCCTTGTGGACAAACAAGGCCATGCCGTTGTTTTGGAGCGCGCACGCAACGCAGACGGCTCCTGGTCTGACCAGAAGTTTGAATTCGACCTGGACACGACAGACACGGCCACAGACGCTTCACAACAGTCATCACAACAACAACCGTCGCAAGAGCACGAATCACAACAACACGCATGAGCAGTAGCTCACGCCAAGCAGCGTATCGTGGTAAACCGTTGTTGTTGCTGTTGTTGTTTTCTGTGCATGCACAGTGCTGTGTTTTGTTTACGATCTTGCCCCCCGCCTCCCTGCCCGCCTGTCTTGCGTGTGCGCAGAGCGTGTTATCCCTTGCTTGTATCGTGCCCTGCTTTGCAAAAGTGGCTGTCATCGAGCCAACTGTGACGAATGAGAGTGACATTCCCGTCACTTGTGAGCGTTGAGTCCCTTCGAATGCGCCCTCCTCTCTTCTCCTCTTCTCCATCTCACTCGCCTGAATCGCTTCTTCTTGCTTGCCTTGCTGGCTTGGCTGCATCTCCGCGGTTATTCGCAATATATTTCACCAATTTTCCACATCCGCTGCGAAAGGCACACGCCGCGAACGAACGAACGAACACACAACTGCTGCTGCACCATCCGCGATGGCCGACGCAGGCTTCTTTCGGGTGAGTGGCAGCCGAGAACCGCACTCAGCGATCAGCGTTTCACACTCGCGCGCACAGAGTACCGAACGCACACATGCACAATATCATACACAGAGTACTAAACACACGCACACGCACGCACACAAACACTCACATGGTTTGTTGTTCTCTTTCTTGTATCTCAGGGAACGTCCCATGATCAGGACTCCCGATTCGCCAACAAGGAGAAGAAGTTGCTCAAGAGCATGAAGTTTGAGCCCATCCTCGATACACCGGTCTGCACTCTCACACCATGACCTGCTGCCATCACACAACCCAAATACACCCACGCCTGCCCCACATGTTCACTGCCTTGTTCCGCTGCACATGTGTTGGGCTGTTGTCTCTGCATCGTTACACGTGTTCTCACGGCCTTCCAATTTGACCCTCTGCACTGGACTTGGTGCCTCTTGCCAGCTCTGGCACGTTTGTTCCTTCCCTTCCTCTCCTTCCCCCCCTTTTCTTTGTGCCTTCTTGCTCGTTGCCAATCCCTCAGTTGCATGCCTTCTCATGCCCTTGCGCAGTGTGGCAGTTCGCCGTCCCGTACAACCTCTATGTTGCGCACACCAGCGTCCACCATGACCCCTTACTTCTCCTCTGCTCGTGTTCACTCGCTCCATGCCCTTGGTGGCCCCCTCTCGTTCCGCCTCCAACCTCACCCAAGCATCCTCCCCTGCCCACACACCAACACCACGTGCTGTCTTGTGCACTCGCTTGTTGCTGTTGTTGTTGTTGTTGTTGTTGTTGTTGTTGTTGTTGTTGTTGTTGTTGGTCGTTGTGGTGTCATGTCTTTAGGTTGACCTGAGAAAAGTGAAGCTGGACACGCTGCGACCATGGGTCACGGAGAAGATCATCGCTCTCATGGGCTTCGAGGATGACGTCCTCATCGACTTTGTCTTCACCCAGCTTGAGGAAGGAAAGGTGTGCCCCGCATCCTCGTGCTGTTGTCTGTGTGTTACCTGACTGGCTTGCATGAACATGCGCATGAACATGCATGTGATCGCATACTGGCTTGCGTTCGCCTGCACAGCGTGGTGCAGTCCGCCACCTCGCCTCTCCTTCTCCGACCCGGTGCTCATGTCTCCTGCCGTGTCCTGCCTGCGACTGCATCTTGGCAACCCTGCCCCGATAGTCGCTTGATCCAAAGCGCATGCAGATCAACCTCACCGGCTTCCTCAACGCCAAGAACGCGCGCGTGTTCATGGGCGAGCTGTGGTCGCACCTCGTCTCCGCGTCCAAGAGCGAGCTTGGCATTTCACAGGAGCTCATCCAGAGTAAAGCCCGCGAAATCCAGCAAGCAGAGGTTTGTGCTGCCACCACTTGCCTAGGGCTTGCGTTCACAGCAACCCATCGCATCTACTCATCTGCGTCTGCCAGGCTGTTACACCGTGTTTATTATTTGGTTGTTTGGTTTGTTTCGTGCCCGCATGTGTTGGTGTTGGTGGCATTGCGCCATGAAGAGGCATGCGCGCTCACACCATGCGGGGGTGAATGGTTTCAGGCGGAGAAGCAACGCGTCTCAGAGGGCATTCTCCAAGCAGAGCGCCGGACCCAGGGCGGCGTAAGTCTCCGTGTCTTGAATCTTGTCGACGCACGAACGCGTGTGTTTGGACGCAACCCTCGGTCTAGCTGCATGCCACCCTCACCGTCCCACCCTCACTCTCATTGTCACACACACACACACACACACACACACACACACACACACACACACACACACACACACACACACACACACACACACACGCCTTCACGCCTTCACACCTTCACACACACACACGCACAAAATCTCTCTCTTCTGTCCTCATTGCTGCTTGCTGTAAGCAGCGGCGTAACCGGTGGGGTGCACCTGCTGCCCCTGGCGCCATGATGCCGCCGCCCGCGCCGCCCGCCGCCGCCATGCAGCCCGGCCTTCTCCCAGCGCCACCAGTCGGAATGCATCCAATGCAAGGCATGCCGGGTGCACAGGGCATGCTCCCCACGCCCGCGCAGCAGCAGCAGCTCTTGGAGCAGGCCAAACAGCGCGCGCAAGCGCTTGCACAAGCCGCCCCACCAGCACGCCCAGCACCTACCACAGCAACAGCACCCACAGCAGCACCCACCACAACGACAGCAGCGACGGCAAGCAATGGCGCTGGTGTTGGCGCTGGTGCTGACGAAGAGAAGCGGGTGCGCAGGAGTCGGGACCGGTCGCCGTCGCCGCCGCGTCGCCCACGCCGCCACAGCCGCAGTCCGAGCCGCACCCGCAACAGATACCGCAGCCGCTACGACCGCGATGATGACCGCGATGACTACCGCCGCAGCAGAGACCGCCGCATGCGCCCCCGCTACCGCCGCAGCCGCAGCCGCAGCCGTGATCGCTACCGTGACCGCGACTACGAGGGCGACCGCGGTGGGCGGTACAGGAGCAGGCGGTACGATGACGATGGCGACGGTGACGACCGCCGCGCCCGCCGCGAAGACAGGCGGCGTCGCGGCAGCAGATACGGTGATGAGGAGCGTGAGGAGGACGACACCGGTAGGCGCCGCCGCGCAGGTAGCGGCGACGATGGCAGCGGTGCGGGCAGCGGTGTTGTGAGTGCTGATGATGACGATGACCGTCGCCGCCACCGCCGCCGTAAACATCGCAAGCACCGCAGCCGCAGCCGCAGCCGCAGCCCAGGCCGGGAAAGGAGTAGCCGGAAGAAGCACAAGAAGAAGCGCAGCCGGCGGCGGGACCGATCGCGCACGCCAAGCGAGGATGACGGCTCTGGTGCGGATGCAGGGAACACCAGCGATGCTGCCAACCGTCGCTCTCACTCACCAGCAGACGAGGATGCAGAGGTGAGCTGCTGTGGGTTGTGCTGGGGAGGGAGCGGGGTTGGCGTGGTGCGGTGTGGGGTGCTTCGTTTGTGTGGGGTGTACGTGCCAGCCTGCGCTCTCAATGCGGTTGTTCTTGAGTTCACGACATGTGCATGTGTGTGTGTGTGCGACATGTGCATGTGTGTGTGTGTGTGCTTGCTTGCTTTTGGCAGACCAAAGAGAAGCGGCTGAAGGAGATGTTGCTGGCGAAGAAGAAGCAGGAGGAGCAGGAGGAGCAGGAGGAGGACAAGCCATCCAATGATGCTGATGTTGATGGTCATGATGACGAAAACACCAACAAGGAACAGCAGGCTTGAGTGGTGCCTTTCTTTTGCCATTCCTTCTTTCTACACACGTGTTTGTAGTGTTTGTGCGGTGCTGGTGCTGGTGCTGGTGTGAGAGACACACTCGCACTGCTGCCAAAGCGCACACCATCTCCTTGTTGACTTGACATTTTGCGAATAGAGCGACGAAATTTCTTTCGAGCTTGGCAACCAATACACAACACCACACACACACAGACCGCTGATAAGCAAGCAAGCAAGCCAAGCCAGGCAACGTGCGGCGAAGTATCATCACCCAGACACCGACTCAGACAACACACACACACACACACACACACACACACACACACACACACACACACACACACACACACACACACACACACACGAGATCGCACATACTACGGACGGGCAACCATGGCAGTGAAGGTGTTTGTGAACCATGTGGACTTGTACACGGGCGTTGCCCTGACACAGGTGCGGCCAAGCTACATGGCGAAGCGTACTTGTGCGTGTGCTTGTGCGTCAGTGCGTTGTGTGTGTGTGTGTGTGTGTACTCTGCGTATGTGTGCTGCGTGTTGGGTTTTCACATTGCTTGCGCGTGCGGTTCTTCAACTTGTGCATGTGGTTCTCCGACGCGCTAACGCTGTGTTCAATGCTTCACGTCCCGCTGTGTGTCTGTGTTTGTGTGTCTGTATTGGCTCGATGTGGTGGTTGCCGCAGCTCTTGAGCGAGAGCGTGGTGGGCGCAACGGTGGAGGGCTTGGACGAGGATGAGGAGGAAGAGGACCTGCAGAGCGAGGGCGCGGCACGGTCGGAAAAGACGGAGGAGAAGTACACCGTGATCGGCACGCTCAGCAACCCCGAAGCCACCATCCCGAAAGGCGTCGAAACCATCGTTCAGGCTGCAGACCGCGCTGCGCTGTTGGATGCCATCATGGACTGCCAGTACATCATTTACGACATCTCCAAGAGTGCCGAGCAAGCAGAGGAGGCTGGATACATCGTCTCAAGTACGTTTGCTTGCTTTTTGATGGTTTTGTTGGCTGGTTGTTCCATGCGCGTGTGTGCTTGTGTGTGTGTGCATGTGTGTGTGCTTGTGTGTGCGTGTGTGCGTGTGTATTTGTATGTATGGTACAGTGCGTACACACGTCACACGTGTGCAATCGCGTTCGCTTGTGGTCTTGCGGCTTTGAAGACGGTTGCCCTGCTTGCTTGTAGTGGTGCCTGATACCTTTGCATGTTTGTCAACTTCCTCCCCCCACCTGGTGCTCAAACAGAGATCCACGAGCAGCTGGACAACTGGGAGGGCCAGAAGACATTTGTGTGCCTCTCCACCATCATGACATGGGCCAACACCAAGCCCATCGACCCGGTATTGTGCTCAAACAAACAAAGTTTCGATCAACGCTTGCTCTCTTGAACACACGTGAAGCACATACGGGCATATGGGGTTCTCGTTCGCACACTCACTCACTCACTCACTCACTCACTCACTCACTCACTCACTCACTCACTCACACACACACACACTCACTCACTCACTCACTCACTCACTCACTCACTCACACTCTCACTCACTCACACTCTCACTCACT